TTTAAAATCATGGCTGTGGAATCAAATTGGGAATCGATATTGATTCTATTGATCAGCATTGAATTGACTTTGTACTGCCATTATTGTGATCACTAATTCATGATTTCAGTTCTTACTTGGATCGTGCTGTGAGGTAATAAGTTGACGTTGGCTTGAAAATCTCGTCTAAAAATGCATTTCTATCAATCCCACCCGGGTGACACTGTAATTGTCTAATACAGTGTGTGTCCAGCCAATAGGATATCGATAAAATGCGTCTCTGTCAATCTCAAAAAAAGGATCGATGACTTTTGCGGACAATAGATTTTCATTTAGAGGCAGAGTTTATTTAACCTGGTAAGTAATCACACGCTTCGAAAGTGGGCTGCGTGAATACGAGCAGGCGGCAGATTGCAAAAGAGATATGGCTCCAGATTGACGGTTTGCTTTATCGTCAATTCTAATCAAGCGTGAGGCCAAAGGTTAAAATAATGACTTCCAATAATACCCAATTGACCCTTTTAGTGTGTGTGGAATAATGCTGAGTTTGACAAAGTGGGGGACAGGCAGAATATATTTCCTACAGAGAGATTAGCGGTGGAAGAACTAAAGGTTGGCGTTACCATGGCAGCAAATGGATTATATCAGTGTCCCCCAAAACCTTTTTGAGCCGAGGCACGATTTATTTCAAGAAATGTTGCTTTATTTTCGCATTTTAAGGGAGACATGTCTTGTATATTTTTAAAACAAGATGATTTTTCTTGTCCCGATGGCAAATCTAGTTTCATTTGGCCAAATTAGTGCATTTTTTTGCAGTGTACAAGGCTGGGCAGATCACCTCCATAATCTGATGCAAAAAACGGCAACCTTTTTTAACAACGCAAAATCAATCTCAAGGTGTATCACATATAAAAGTCTTTCTAATCTCCTCACATTATTTTGACCAATTTTGTCACAAAGAAGCACACTGGTTGAAAAACACTGGATTTTATGCACGTGGAGGCCCGCCAGACAAGAAGGAAACAAGGCAGTCACAATTTATAATTTAAAATGGCATGGAACTGCGCCCCCTGCTGGAGGTTTGCACAAAAAGAGTATTTGGATTTTGCAAAATTTGGTCTGTTACTTTTCAACAATTTTAGAATGGAGGCACCCCTTTAGCACTTTAATGCAGGGGTCTCCAACCTTGTTTCAATCTGAGAGCTACTTTTATACTAAAGAAGAGGCAGAGAGCTACTCCTCTTTGCAGTTGTAGTAAAAAATCTATGTAATAATTGGGACAAAACATGGAAAACATACCATAATACTGTATAACCCTATATTTATACATTTAATAGACACATTCTAAAGCATTTGGCGAGCTACCTGAAAGGGGCCGGCGAGCTACTGGTAGTTCACGAGCCACAGGTTTAACCCCTGCTTTAATGGTTTTCTCAATCATTTGGTAGATCACCTTTGGAGTCACTATCTCGACTGGATATCGACCTCTTTGGGGCGTCTCGCTTAGTTTTAGGCACTTTTACCATCAAACTGCATCTCAACCATTTGGTAAAGGCCTATAATTAAAGATAACTAGGGGTTAAAAATAAATAAAAGAACAAGAAATGAACATTAAAAGGTTAAGAGGATAAAAAATGCATTATTCTTTAAAGGTTTGACATTTCAAAGCCACTAAAATCATCAGATAACAGTACATAACATCGTACTCTACTGGCCTTACTCTAAAAAATCTCGCCCATAGTCCCATAACACTGGTATATTGTGAACCTTGTCATCTGTGCTTTGCGTCAATACCACAGTTCACAAACAATCCAATTAGCTTCAGAGCTCCCATTAATGATTTTATCCATATCAAATTAACATTTTTTATGGGCCATTGCGCCTCTCCCAACACTCCTTGCATCTAAACCCCTGTTAATTGTGACCAGCCAACCCCTTACGAACCACACCACCAACACGGGCTTCTTTTAATCTGAATTTAAATGGCTTCATTTACTTTGCCTCTCCACATTCCGCGGGAAACGCTACTAGTTACCGCGACGTGTGAGACAAAGGACTCTGAATTATTCTTAAGATCTTACTGTGTGAAACAACAGACTGTAAACATGCAACTCAATGCAACGCAATTGAGAAAAAAAAAACACATTACAACACACAAGCAGGCTTAACCATTCTTTGGCTGGAATTTCAGAAGATTCAGCGAAGGGGAAAGAAGGACGGAACTAAAAATAGAAGGAACAAGCAGAACAAAAACAAGTCTAAAGTTTTGGGGGAGTTCAGAGCATAAAAAAAATAAAGCAGCTAATTAGTGAGAAGAGAGACAGTAAGAAGAAGACAGACGGCATCGAGCTTTCATCGCAGTTGGCTGACGAAATCTGACACTTTAAATAGGACACGAGTGGAGTTATGATACGCTTCAGAAAAAGGCTGTCAGAAGTGGAAAGTTCGACGATGTGGCTACAAAGGCGGGTGCAAAAGCTCAGCGCGGAACGTGAATAGAGACGGTTCACTTTGAGGTAGTGTAGAGCCACATGTTTTATGGTGTATCTACTCTTGAATAGTTGTTGCTCTTGAGTTAATTACCTATAAAGGCGCGTTCAGACCAAAAGCTTCAAAAAGCTTTTGACGCGCTTCAACTGACGCCGGGATAGTTTTGTCATTTTGGTGCTTGAAGCTTTTGACGCGAGTGACGCGCCTGACGCCGGTGTGAGGAGCTTCTCTGTTGTCTGTAGTCAGGACAGCGGTGGATTTTTCAATGAGCAGCGAGCCTTTATTTGTTACATAAAGCAAAATAACGTTGTTGTAGGGCTTCAACAAAACATGTTCTGGGTTCACCACAGACTTGAGAGGCTGCAGTGTTTGCAGAGTTCTGTCATTTACTCCAGGAGCTGCGTACGGAGGAGTTTCGCTTTCAGCGGTACTTCCGCATGTCACTCGCCCAGTCTGAGTTCTCAAACCCCGGAGCTCGCCTCTCCCCGTCTCGCTCTCGCCTCTCCCTGCCTCCCCCTGCCTCTCCCCGGCTCTCGCCTCTCCCCGCCTCCCCCTGCCTCTCCCCGGCTCTCGCTCGCCTCTCCCTGCCTCTCCCCGGCTCTCGCTCGCCTCTCGCCTTATTTTAAATAAACTAGGTTTACTACACAGCATGTGTACAATGATTTTTGTTACTCAGAACGTTACTACTCATAAAAATAATATTACTAATAACAATAATGACAATAAAACAGCAGCAGATACATGACTTCTCTTCATGACAGAGACAGACCCTCTGCTGCTGCTGCTCCTCGTCTCCTGATTGGTTGAAGCCCGCGTCAAAGCTTCAAAAGCTCAGCTTTGCTCAGCTTCGGCGTCAAAGGGATTGTTGTGATACGCGAGCGTTTCGCGCGTCAAAAGCTTCAAGTGAGCGCGTAGTACGCGCGACTCTTGAAGCTTTTGACGCGCGTCAAGTGACGCCGGGGCTCTCGGCTTCACCTGACGCGCTTCACCATTCACTTTCAATGCAAACCTGACGCTTTTGACGCCGAAGTTAAGTCCGGTGTGAACGCCCCTTAAAAGACAAGCATGCGATTATGTCAACGCAAATGTCAATGCTGTGGAGAAAACGCAAAGAGAAAATGTTTACGATGATAATGATAATGCATACCGCTTCACATGGCATTATTCATTCTTGTAGACAGAGCAGTGGTTCCAGCTCAATAGTGGCCAAAATGACGTGCGCTGACATGCTGCAATACCACCCCGGGCCAGTGGGGGTGGACCCGGAATAAGAATTAGCCAATTCTAACATATAGCATTAGCTGACCTCTCAAAACGTCTTTACAGGATGGTCCAAAAGTTGGCTCTTGGTCCAAAGCTCCGTTCCACATGTGTGTCAATGCTGAGGGGAGTGTTCTGGACCAGTCTAGTTTAGTCGCTGTGGACTTTTGAAGGCACTCGTTTAAATGAATGGAGCTCGTGCAGCTGACGCATGCACAGATGTGTTTTTTCACATTTCCCAGCCCCCGCAGCCATTTTGAATCATTCCATGAAAGCCCAATTTTTGGCCCATTAGTTAGAACGGCGGAGATAGGCCTGACTATGTCCGTAAATACAGTCTATGAGCCAGAGCTGACTGACGGAAGTGAGGCAACCAGTCTATGCCATCGGCCCCTCCGACCACCATTGATTATTCACACACATACAGACTCACTCTTGGCAAAATGGGTGAAGTGTCTTGCTCAATTATTGCCTAAAATTATGCAAAAATGGCAGGAGCAGTAAAGGTGTGCTATATACTCTCTGTCTGGTGCACACTGGGGTAGTCTTGCACAGTTTTCCCAATGTGGTTGTACTGCAAATGGCAAAGAAATTCTTGAATCTTGATTTTTTTTTTTTGGTCGGCACTGTTATCTGCCACTACGCTGGCACCGATACAGCTAACCACAAATGACAACAACAATTTGATATATGGTTTAGAATGAGTATTCATAAAAAAAAAAATATATAAACATTCATAATATATTTAGGCGATTGCGATCTATGTAACTGACCTATGCTCTTTTAAAATAATATTCTCAAAGTATTGTTTACTTTACAAGAGAGAATCGCACAGCATTCTCACAGTCAGGTGCACTAGTGTAATCAACTTTGCATGATTCATATTCAGATGAAGGAAAACTTTATTGATCCCCAAGGGCAATTCATGTGCAGTATAATCTCAAAGCAGAGCACACAGACTACACAAACACAGAGTGAGTCAGGCCTCATGATAAAGGCGTAGTTTCCGAAACATAGAAATAAATGATAAGATAAGATGAACTTTATTGATCTCACAATGGACACATCTACAAATGTTACTGTGCAGGATGTGCGTGGGAGCTTTCCTTTATGTTCTCAAAGTATATAATGTAGCTATACTTTAACATAGGACCAATTAACATCTTGAATAAACAAAGCAACAACAACAAAATCCAAAAAAGTGTCTGGTTTTATTCAGACTTCTTGGGTAACTGCTTGTGTTACCAAAACAAATGTGCTTGTCGACTCACCCAGAGCGGCCGGAGCGAAGAGGCTGGCGAGGACTAGCAGCCGTGCGGTCCACATGGCCTCCTCCTCTTACCGCCGCTGCTCGACGTCCCAGTAGAGTTCAGTCCACAAGTCCTTTTGTTTGGCAAACGCCTGCGATTGCAAATACTCCCTCCTTCCTCTGGCACTGCGCGCTTGTCCCACCAGATCGCAGAACCACCAATGCCAGATGCTGCCTCAAATCTGCAATGACACAAAATAAAAAGAACATTTCAGGAGATAATTCCGGTGTTAGGGATCACAATGAATCATGCTTTTTTTTATGAGAACAATAGTGCACTACTTTTTTTTTTTTCCCAGAAAGAGCAACACGGCAGATGGCAGCGCGGCGGCTTTATCATCGGTCCTTATGGCTTTGTGGGCTGCGCGTTGTCGTCAAGTGGCGCTAAAGCAAGTTGCTCGATCTCCAGTCATGCAAAGGCTCATACTGGGTGTGATCGAGCGCACCGCTGAATGTATTTTGGGATGTGTTGTTGTTTTGCTCATCCAAGTGTTAACTCCCCCACCTTAGCCACAAATCACCCCCACAGAGCTGCGAGAAGGAAGTGTAAAGAAGCGATAGCTGTGCGCGCGTTAAACCAACATGCCTAAAAACCCCTGTCGCTTTCTACCTGTCAGTAATTGACTTAAGCATCACAGCGGTCTTCCTCCACCTACAGGCATGAGCCGCCACATCGCAGTGTGAGTTTTGGCACCTGCAAAACTATGTGCGCAACCCTCAAGAAATTGTCCCACGCGTTGTGAAGACGGCTTGAAGGTATGAATGACGTTACTACATGGGAGGTGAAAGGAAGAAGGAATATGGATGTACAATTCAGCTCAGTATGTAATGTTTATTTATATAGTGCATTTTACAGACCAAGGTCAACCAAAGCAAAGTTCAAAGTTCAGATATTTTACCATTCTCTCCACACACGGGGATGACTGAAGCGAGTCGCCGAACAAACTGGACCATTAAAGCCTCTGACCAATCCATCCACTCACTCGCTCTTTACACTCAGACCTTTTGTGCATGTTTTTAGTGATAGGGGAAACCGTAGCACCCGGAGGAAATCTACACACACGTGCAAACACCACTCGGAAACGCTTGCAGGTGGAATCAAACCCAGGACCTTCTTGCTGTGAAACACAAATGTTAACCGCTGTGCCAGCGTGCTGCCCGTTTAAAAGCCTGATTTTTATGCCAAAAATAATGAAGTAGCAGAGGTTTTTGTTAAATTGGATGGAACACTGAGATGTTGGCCAGAAACTTCTCATAACTCTTAAAAAGTGGCTACTTTACCATCCATCGTTTTTATTCTTCACTGTTCTTGAATTGTAATATGATTTTAAATACTTTTGCCAACCATATGTCTCACAATATCAATATCAAAGTATATATATATATATATATATATATATATATATATATATATATATCTGTAGGATTCTGCTGTGTATGCACCGAAAGGATTCATGTTTTTATATCAAACCATTTTGCACAACTGTAAAAATGCACTCGGACACGCCTCCAAATCCATACCAAGGGTCGAACCACAAGCAAGGGATTGGATGACACCACCACTTAGCTCCTGTTGCATGAAACCCAATCAGATTTACAGTATGTGGCGATAGTAAGAGCTGTAGCTTTAACCCATTACCACAATAAGTCATGGATGAAGTTCTGCTTTTCCTTGGACTTTATCTTTCTCTCTCTCTCTTAAATTCTTGACATTGTGTTTGCCGAGTTATGGTTGGTACTGTTGCCTAACTTTGTGTTTGTATGTTTCTAGCTGCCTCAGGACGATGGATATAATTTAGTTATTGTGCCATGTCCAGTATAGTTATGATCCATTATATACTATGTTAAATTCAAATAAAATCCATCAATTAATTAAAGCTGCACTAACTGACTTTGGGATTTTGAAGCAGCAGACTCGCTGGCCTCTCTCTTTCTGCTCCCCTCCCCGCACCCACGCAGCTATGGCCCCCCACACACACCCACTGTTGTTGACGAAGCTAGCCTCTCCCAATATGGATAAACCATGGATATGGATTTACACGTGGATGGCGTGACCATAGAACGATAGAACCGGGAAGCGCGGAGAAACGGGACTTTCTTTTGGATGGCTGTTTCGCTGTGTAAGCAGTAACCGGTGACGAAGACGAAGTCAGGTTAGCTCCTCGGCTTGTTGTGCTAACTCAGCCGTCTGTGCTAACGGACCTGTAGATTTCTCACGAAAGTGGGGGCTAGTGGTCCGCTGTGATTGGTCACAATCTGCGACCCGAAACACATTCTCTTCCTTGTTTCATCAAAACTCGATCTAAAATATAATGTCACGCCAGCACAAATCTGCGCTACTTTTTCCTCAAAATGACGTTTATCCCAATGCACTACATGGACATGGATAGCATTTTCGTATTGAATACAAAAATAAAGTCAGTTAGTGCAGCTTTAAATAAATAAGGGTGTGAAAAAAATGACTAAAAATAAGCCGCATGACAAAGTTGGATCTCGTTGTGGTATGATAAGCAGAAATCATGTACAATATATTCTGACGAGCTTATCCCTATTAAAGCCCATGTCATATTATTAAGGATAAGTCAGATTTAATGATTGGGGTTGTGCACGCACTATAATCTACTATTATTCATGAGCCAGTGCACACAACACTGCAGTGCGACACATGCATCAGCCCCGTTAGCCAAGCTGCACTGGTTCAAAGCGGCCCCGGGTTGGTTATAGTCCACTGTGGGATAGTTGGGCTGAAAAAGGGCAAAGCCAGAGGGAGTTTCAAGTCTCTCGCCATTAATATTACAAACCAGAGACGGCTTCATATTTGATATTTGATAGAACGCCACTCCAGCCAAAACCGGTGTGTGCGTTGTCATCGGCAGGACTACTGCAGTTTCTGACTCTAATACAATGCTTTAGATTATGGAAATCTAGTTTAGGGATTAGAAAGTAATGGGTTTGTGAGAGAGGAGAGAATTGGACGGATTGAGTTGTGAAAGAGATCAACGTTGAAGTGCTTTGCTAGAATGGACTTACTGTATGTAATGAAAGAATGTGTGTATTTGAGTAAATCCAATCGTGGTGTGGATAAGAAGCCCATCCCTGGCAGTTCTATTGAATGGTATATATAATATAGTATCGTATAGTTAGAAATATTAAGATTAAGAAATTCTTCATTCATTCCACAGTGGAGAAATTTCCTGAAGGAGGAGCACACAGCAAAGGATAAATGAACAATAACTCCATACTAGACTAAAAAAAAAAAAAATCTCTAACTCTAGCATGAGAAGAAACAGATCTAAAATCTCTATCTTTAGCGATTATGAGTACGTACAAAAACCTTGACTTTAGCATAATAAAGAGGTATAAAATCTCTAAGGGGCGACAGTGGCTCAGTTGGTAGAGCATTGGCCTTTGAGCCTGAAGGTCGTGGGTTCTAGCCCACCACAAGACCTACTTCACGACTCCCCACTGATGACTGTTGTCGTTGTGTCCTTGGGCAAGACACTTAACCCAACTGTGCCTGAAGCCCCCACTGAAAGATCTCAACTCCTGTGGACTCAGCACCTGCAGGAGGATCAGTGAGGGGCTGGTGCTCTGTGGACTGGGTGCAGCTCTGACTGCCACCCCCCCGACCCAGAAATGGATTAAGGGGAAGAAAATGAATGGATGGATGGAAAATCTCTAACTTTAGCATAAAAAAGAAGTATAAAATCTCGACTTATGGCCTATTCATAATAAGTATTGTGTATTCTATAAATATATAGTAGCAACAGTTGACACATGTGGTTCTATGTTGCGATTTCTGAGATAATTAACGTTATTATTGCACAGATGAGTAAGTAAAGTGAAGTCGCATTGACACATGTGGTTCTATATTGCACATACTGACATTAGTTCAAGATAAACGTAAATATTAGTCTATTTTGAAGTTAAAAAACTATTTTCCATGAACACTACCTCAAAAATCATTTGTATTCTGAACATTTGCCTCACTAAGAAGATTTGACAGTAATGCGTTTCTTTATTTCTGTCGAGGGTCTGATTATGAGTGAGTTTACCGTTTGAGGTGCTATTGCTGCTTTCTCAGTACAAGCCGCACGTCAGGAGCTTGAAGACATTAAACTAAGATGTGAACGACTATATTTGATCAAAGCAATATCCTTGTGAGTAAACCGCGCTTTTAATAAAACGCCATGACAGCCCTGGCAGCACTAAATAAAATATTACTTCAAACCTGATGCGGTTTCTCTGTTGGTTATTATTTATAGGAAAATAATGCATTATTTCAGAGACGATCACATACTGCGAGGACATTTGAATAGAATGAGACAAGTAAACAGATCCATAGCAGAAGGGACAAACTGTACAATTCTGCAGTTTTGAATAAGCCAGGTATCGCTCCAGTTAAGTAAGTAATGTTTATTTTTATAGCGCATTTTACAGACCAAGGTACAGACCCAACAATGTTCAGAGTCAGATATTGTTCCAATCCTTCCACACACGGTGATGACAGAAGCGAGTCCAGAACACACTGGACCATCAGCCCCAACACCATCCATTCACTCTCTCATTTACATTCAGACCTATTGTGCATGTTTTTAGTGGTAGGGGAAACCGGAGCACCCGGAGGAAACCTACGCAGACACGGGGAGAACATGCAAACTCCACTCAGAGAAGCCCTGTTCCGACCGGGATTCGAACCCAGAAACATCTTGCAAGTTCTCCCCGTGTCTGCGTATGGGTTTCCTCTGGGTGCTCCGGTTTGCCCTACCACTAAAAACATGCACAATAGTGTAAATCTTTCAGCTCTGGTCCTGACCAAGCCGAGCATCAACATCTGGAGATGGGTTCCCAGGCGCTGTTACTACGGCGACCACTACTCCTGACGTAAGCCTTAGTGGCATCAGGATGGGTCAAATGCAGAGGATGAATTTCCCTACGGGGGCATTAAAGTGCACATTTACATTCACGTGGTTGGTAGCAGGTCATTTTCTAGAAGGACAAACCAATAGATGAAGTT